AAATTAAGAAAAATACAATTATATACTTTAAAAGAAAATAAGTTCAGTTGTATTAAGCATAAACATAAAAATAGGATTTAAATGTTTGGAAAACCTTTAAAAATGTTAGCGTTGCAAAAATATAAAATTAAAAAATAAAGTGAAGGAATACCACTTTTGGTATTTTAAGAGGCAAGAACAAGAATATTTCATTTATCAGCTTCATGTACTAATTAATGTAATAAAATAATAATGAGATCTTTTTCATCTATATGTATGATAAATATTGATTTTGCTAAAGCTGTGGAGCATTTCTCAAATAGACCAAGTCTATTCATAATAACTATGAGTATAAATATTCAATGAATTAATAAAGCCTTTGTGAACTTGTGTAATGCTTTCAGTATTGATTGTCTTAATATATGTGTAAAATATATAATTTATGAACATAAATAATTACTTGAAATAAAACTGTAGTTATGTGTAGTTGTTTATAAGAATACATAATGTATCTGTATTAATTTATAAAATGTTTAATTTATAATTATTTAAAAAAAGCGTTTAAAAGTAGTATTATTTGCAGCAAATATTCCGTAGAAATAAAATTAAAGTAATTAAATAAGCTTATTATACTTATTAAAATATTTACATAATTTATACTATTTAAAGTAGTTGAGTTGCAAGTACACAAACGTATTCATTTTGCCTAAAAGTAAACTATGATATTTTGCTGTACTGGTAGATTTGCAATACTTCAAAGCGGGCATGGCTAATTAATCGATTACCGCTTAACTGCATTGATTGTCAGTGGCACTTTTTTAATTAGAAAATCTTTTGTGCATTTTAAAAGATTAGCCAGTCCCGCTCTAAAGTTTCATTTATACATAAAAGTAACGTGGTAATTGTAATGTTGAAACCTTGTTAATTATTAGCATTTAGTATTTGAAATGAAAAATATAACAACATCAACCAAATACACAGTGTACTACATACATAAATAAATAGAAGTACATAACACTAAAATATACACCCAGAACAAAGTAAATATTTATATGTGTGTTTATATTCTTATTAATTAAAAAGGAAATACAAATAACGTACATGAATTTATATAAATTAATTAATTATTTAAATATTGATATTATAACAAATATAATTATATAAATACAATAAACAAGCTGCATAAATAAATCTTTTAATATAGTTATTAATTAATTTGTAGTTCTTTAATTTATTATGGAACTTTTTTTTTTTTTACTAATAAATAGTCAGTGGTTTAATTTGATTTTAGTTAGCATTTCTATTCACTTATGTAGTTTGGCTTTTAATAAGAAAATTCACTAATGTTTAATAGTAAATTAATATTATTATGTAAAGCAAGAGTAGACAAAACAGCGCACGTTTTTGTTTGAAAATTTTACAGTACACATATTATTTAATTATATTTTTGTATTAATTAAAAATAAAAAAAAAATTTCGTAGTTCACATCATTAGAAATTGTCATATATACACTTCACTTATGATTAAATTAATTATTAATTATTTTATTCATTTTAAAAACAATGAAAATTTGATAAAAATCATAGCTTATAGCGATATTATAGATAATTGAAAATAAACATAATTTTGAAATAAAGGGCATATATATGATTGATATTGATGGTTATTCCTGCAAATATAATTATATGAGCTATATTTCAAAACCCAGCATATTCTCTTGTACTTTAGAAATGTATTAATAATTCTCATGATTTCCATTATATTAAAAATTAATATTAATTAATAAAAATCATAGATTTTCGGCATAGATTCATTCGGAATTATCATAGACATTCTTCTGCTTGCAATTCAAATTCAAAAGGATTTGAATACGTAATTATGTGAAGAAATAATTCTTCATCGAGAACGTTGGGCAGAAAACCGTCATAGATTTTCCGCATAGATTCATTCGGAATTATCATAGATACTCCTCTGCTTGCAATTCAAATTCAAGAGGATTTGAATACGTAATTATGTGAAGAAATAATTCTTCATCGAGAACATTGGGCAGAAAACCGTCATCAAATAAATGAAGGTTCGTAAGTCTCGTAAGATGATGGTAAGACTAGTGCATCCAATAGGTATTATTTGAAAGGTTTGAAAGGTTGCATACGATGGATGCTTCACTTCGTTTTCAAAACATTGATAGCATGATAAAAACAGATTTACAGTTTCACTTAATTAACAAAAAATTGTTATTTAAAAAAAAATTTAAGATTACCATTCCTAATCGAGAACGTAAAATAGAAAATCTGAATCGAATAATCGAAGTTGATGATATTTATACTAGTGCAGCTATACCTGCATTTTTTATTCTGAAAAGACTTTTCCATGAGCAAATATCTGGCTATATTCCAAACAAAGCTACCTGTCTGAGAAAAAAGACAACCAACATAATATGTTATAGCCATCGATCATACTGGCTTTAAGCAATGTCAAACTTTATACAAGGTTTGATGTACAACTTCTTAATGATTCCCAATTAACAATGAAAACATTATCGAGTTATTTTAAAGTGAGTTTTGAGTTATGAAAAACAAAGGCAACGAAAGACAAATCTTAAACTCAATTACAATTACACCTATGCCATTTTGCATCTAGGCGAAATTACGCAGAGCGGAAAAACTCATATACTAAGAAGATACCCAATTTAAATATGTATCGAAAAACAAAAAATGATATCAAAAAATGTACCGAGAGCGTATTATAGCCAATCGTACTATCATAACAAAATCTGCCCATCAGATACCTCTATTTCTGGCATTTGTATTATATCCTAAAATAAGTAGCGGCAGACTTATTCATCCGGCTTACATACTTTTTACTCCATATAATATATAAAACAATACAAAACCTTCAAATCCGATTACTTTCACTAAAAGTCTAATCATTTAAATTGCGATATTTAATATTCCCCATTTAATAATAATAAAAACAATATATAACATAATTGTTTTAACAAATCTTTTTTCCCAATTCAGTGAATGATTGGTCATGGAAGAATAATGAGATAAAATTCCATTCCGTATGTGTGAGGAATATATGACGGCAATATAAGATATAGGGCGGACGGAGTAGAGCTCATCTTACCTCCTCTTTGGGTTTTAAACGAAATTAGTTGCACAGCTGAGAGCAAAAGCCTTACAAGTTACGATTTGAAAGAATAAAGCTCATTTTAATACAAAGCCCTCTAATGAACTTTTTATTTTTGCCTGCAGGTTCATACTTCTACGTACGCCCATATCTTAGGTTAAATTAAATGACATTTATACACTATAAAGCACATATTATTACTGAAAATAGCAAAATTACATTCCGAATATCCCAATAAAAGTTATTCATAACACATGAATGTATTATATATATTGTAAATAGATTTTAGATCTATTCTACAAAATTAAATGATGAGAAGAATCGTGAAAAAATAAAACATTTCGAAAAAGTAGAAAACTTTGATAACAATGTGATAAAAACTAGCAAAAAATCAAATTAAGCACTCAGCTTAGTTCTGATAAGGTTCTGAAAATAACTTATAAAAATTAAAATATAAGATTTAGCACTTTCCCAATAATATAATGGTATACACAAAATATTATCCATATATATATGACTATTTTCCAAGGGTATATGTTTTTATGTATGGAAAACAATATTTTACATGAAAAACAAAGATAAAAAATATCTCTTTAAAATGTTATATATTAACAAAATAGCTAAGTAATAGTCTTTGCAATTCTTTATTACAAACAGGAACGTCAAATGGTTTAGGGAATGCACTATATATCCTCTCAAAACTTTCCTTTTAGTTAATTATTTTACCTAATAATTTTCACAAGCTTACAATGGGACTATATGTATACTCGAGACCTTATGCACCATTATGCGAATATACATTATTAATATGTATATTAAAAAATGCAAAGTAAATCCAAAAAGAAAGGCAAAATGACTTCTTTATATTCGAGTTTAGGTGCACGCGACTAAGCTAAATCACTAGTCCATACAAGTTATGTATGTAAATAATATCGAGATAATGACTATTATTCAATAAGAATAAGAGATTTCATAAATTGACGCATCTACCCAACTTCAATTCATTTATTGATTTCTTATAAAAATTCAAGAAACAGTTTTTATTTTCACTGTTTATAAAAATATTTGCTTTTATGGATCATTGATTTAATATTTGCCAAACAAAATGCATGGTTTTGAGCTACTGGCGAGGATTAAATTGAAGACACAAAAAAGGATCTAAAATGTGAAGAAATGTTTAAAAATACTAATGCCAATATAATTGGTATTATATCACTTCCTGACATTTATTATGATCAGCATGGCGCTCGATATAATTGAAGTTATCCTTTGTACCCACTATGAACACTCAACCGGAAAAGTAATACCGTATCACTGATTCCAAGTATAGCATTTATCTTCTCTTCATAATACTCGTAAAAATTTAATATTCTTGTAACGACCTTTCTTATTAACATGACTAAGTATTGACGATGAAAAGTGGGAGATAAGATCGGCGTGTTTAAGGTTTATCTGACATTTAATGTTTATTTAATAAAAAGTTGGAAAAATGTCTAACCAATTTCTCCACTGTGTGGCAGAAACTATCTGAAAATTTGAAAAATGTGTAACTGATATACAATGAAATCTATTAGGTAGATTGTACTGATTTTTGAGAATTGCTTTAAAAAATTTGTTAGCAAGTAAATGTATATATTAATTGGAAATATATAAGATAATTATTTAAATATAATTTGTAGTAGATAAATATGTTTCATATATTGAAGTTTATAAAATAAATAAAATACACCTTTTATATAGAAAATTTTTGATCAGTTATCAAGTACAGATTAGTAAACTTTATAAAAATCAAATAGTTTATGTAATGGGAAAATATTGCTTTAATGTTCCATTAATAATACTCGCACTGCAGGATCCGAATAAATAGAAATAAAGAAAATTCACTTACCTCATAGAATTTCCCAATAACTTCAACGCTAAACATACAAGGAGAATTCCAATTAGGCTGTTGAGGAACTAAAATTTAAATATTGTTAAAATTTTAACTTTAATGGTATATGTTTGTCGTATTACTTATTCCTTTTAACGAAAATTTTTTTTTGATAAACAGCATCTATTGGGTAAAAATAAAATTAAAATTAAATATTAAAACCCAAAGATTAAAAATTTGAAATAAATCTCTTACAAGATTCTGTTTCGTCAACAGAGGTTTGTTTGGTCTGGTCATCAGATGAAATTTGGCTAGCCGAATAAAAATACTACTATTGATCACAGGATTCTGAAAAAAATACAAATAAATAAAGATAAAAGATAATTTTGATACTCTAATAAATTATATAAACATTATTTTTGGTTATTATTTAAGTATTGTAAACAGTAGTTATTATCAAGTTAAGTTGAGTTCTAACAGCTATACAATTTTATAATTTGATGTCCAGGCCTTCAGTCACCAGTTGGCTGATCCAAACTCCGTCATCCTTATGAACTTATAACCATCTTAATGGGTAAAGGACCATGCCCTCAATACATCGTCAGTGTATATGAATACATCTACTATTATAGTTAAAATTTTTTTAATCAGGTTTCTCATCTCTCAGTACTCATGCAAACAGATCGGCTGCTGTTCCGCACATTAAGCTGGCACCTCTCATCATAATACAAACATACCCAAGCGGCACTAACGATGCCCGGACACAGTGATGGCAGGTCACCGAAAGCATATAAAAACAAAGAACAGTAACATATACCTTACCCCATACTATATCATGTCTTACTACATAAATAAGCTAAAACCTTTCTTTTCCCACTGTTCTATTAAAATGTAAAATATAAATTTTATTTTGGATTAAAATAAATATAGATTAAAAATAATTATAAAATTACTTTAAAGTGAATAATAAATATAATTTAAAGAAATTATAAATAAATGAATTGGCACTTAGGTTTTTATCTCCAGTAATAACACAAAAATATTAAAGTAAAAAATTACAACATTACAAACGATAAGCAGGTGCCTTTCCTCTCCGTGCTCATGCAAACGGAACGGCCAATTCTCAATGTTAATAATATTGGAAAAGATAAATTGTCCCCATATGAAAAGTAATTTGTTGTTTTACAGTCGGCTTATATCTAAAGGCAGTCACAATCAATCACAAGCCTGATCTTTATTGGGTTGTAGAGATATCGAATATACGATCAGATGAGATAGATAGAAGATGAAAAACTTATGGGCTAATCGCGTCAACTGTTCTATTGCAATAATGCTTACGGACTATACGGAACTTGCAATCGGAATGTATCATTCAATTTCTATATCTTTGTTTAAGACTAGAGATGAATTGACTAATATATCTAAGAAACCATTTCTTTCCTACCCTGTCAAAGTTAAAGAAAGTGATTTATCACATCTTTTTGTATAGAATACCAAATAGTTTAGCAAGAATAACAAACGAAGACATTTTAGAAACAATAATTAATGTAGAAGGGCTCAAAAAGTATTAAAGAAACACCAAAAAATTTTTTTATTAATTTATTGAAATTTGGCTGATCATAATACAACGCACCCTTCTAACTTATAAATAGTTTTTTTAAGTTACATTTGACAAAAAAAAATTAACATTTAATAATTAATATAGTTTACCTTCCTTTGTCATCTTTAACAGTATCGCAATAAGCAGTAGACGTCTCTGAGTATAAGTGCGTTTAAACTTCACTAACGTTATATTATATATATAAATATGTATATATATTTTATAAAGAATACATATATATAAAAGTTATATATGATCAAAGGTCTTTTTTTTTTCTTCCAGCTAATACTTTAAATAAATGAAGATAATGTAATAATTTGACCTATAACGAAATAATTGCTAGTTAAGATAAAGATTATCAAAGAGAAGTATTGCCGAATAATCTTCTCTCATAGAAACCAACTCATCGAAGTAGCTTATTTTATACATCAATAACATGTTTATAATCCAATTTGTTTAACTAAAAGGCTGATTTCAAAAAAACTGAAACTGATTTTTACGTTCTATTTCACATCGTTTTTCAAATATTTATGTGTAAAATTCTATGATATATATAACACTGGCGATAAATATTTGTCATTCCCTGCTATATATAAACATATAGGTATTTTATGTTTTCAACTTACTGTTTGTTGTTTGATATTCAGTGGTCTGGCATAGGTGACAAGCCCCCGGAATTGGATAAGTGCAGCACGCAAAGCCATTTTGAGTAGTTGAAAAGTGAAGTCACTATATTTAATAAAAATATTATATTAATATAATATGTTTTATTTAATATTAAATTATTGATATTAAACTAAATAAAGTAAATACAAATTCAATAAACGAAAAAATAATTTTATTAGTATTTAAAAGTAATTTTATTTAATTTCTAAAATAGTTGTAAGTAATTGCGGCGTGTAGCGTACAATAACAACAAAGCGCTACTTATAGTAAATGATGACTTTATTAATTTGGTTTTTAATTGGGATCCTTTTTGTAAAGTAAGTAATTCGCATCATAAATTTCATTCAAGACAGCTCCTTTGATGTTGAAATAAGTTGTTGTGTCCTAATTATCAGGAAAAATGTTTCTAATTAAGTTTTTAATGGCGACAACAAAATAAATTAGCTTACAAATCTTATTATTTAAATCGAAAAATTCAGAAGTAAAAAGTATCTTAGGAAACTGTTTAAAAAGAAGTTGCTTTAAAATATTTTAAATTTGGGATAAAAATGTTTAAAAATGTAAGGAATTATTTAACAAAAAAAAAAACAATATTAATAAATTTCTTATCCCGTGGCTAATTATGTAGATAATATATGATGCTGAGTATTTATTGCTGGAGATAAGAAGCCAAGAAAGATAGTGAACGAGATATGTGGAAAATATATGATATTATGGTTAGGGAAAAAGTTTTATACCCATGGTTTGGTTGCAAGGCCATGGCGGTGACGAAGCTCCAGTTTTTTATGAGAACTGGAGGTTCGAGCACCGAACAAAAATATGTTGTAATACGATACTAATGCATGGAGAGCTACATAAATTAAGAGATAAATCGGTAAAAAGTTGAATCCTTTTTTACGAATGTAGGTACTTAAACTTTTCATAAATTATACTGTGCCCCTTTTTACTTTTTATTTGGAGATGCTGAACTCAAATTCGTAATTCGTTTTTCTTCTAGACAACATGGTCTCAGACTATAACGAGTTAAAATTATAAAACTGAGAATTTAAAATGTAAATAAAATATTTCTATTTTAAGAGAATAAATTTCTTACGAATAAATTGAGAAATATTTTAACCTTATATACTCTTTCCCAAATTGTTTCCTTTTTCTGTGAAAAAAGAGAATTTTTCAAATTTTTCTCAAAGTGCAATTTTTCCACAGAAACATCCACTTTCACAGAAGAATGGAAGAGAACAAATTTAGAGAAAGACGTCTAAGGCAAAGTTATCTATTATTCGTACGTACTAATATATTAAAATAATAATTTTACATTAACTCTTTAAAACCTTAATGTCTAATCTTAACCTGTTATATGTCTGGAAGAATAGCGACTTGCAAAGTTGAGTTCAGCAGAACTAAATTTAAATAAAAGCTTTTAAAAGTCAAAAGTGATTAACGTGTAGCATTGTCGATAGAGAAATCCCGTCATTAAGTTGAATATTATGTAATAAATTAAAGAAACTGAAAATATTGAGTCATTTGTAGATATGTCTTTTTGATATAGGAATAGAATATAATAATACTTATTTATATATTATCAAGACTTAAGCGTATGTAAAATATAATTATAAAGTTATATGTGCCGATATCAATAATCTCTTACTACACCAAATAAATGGTTGGCCTGTAAAACAAAGTGTTCAATTTTGACCTACATATATAAATTATATTAATCTATTATTTACAATTATTATTATTACTATTAACTGGAATTTCGATTAACATAGCTGATAGGTAATCTATATAAGCTTCGCCATGAAAGATAAAATAACATTATTCGCATGCCTACTTTATATACCTATTGATAGCTTAATTGTGTTTATCAATTTGTTTATAACTTTTGTTTATATTGAATTTATTATTGCAAAAAGAAATTGTGGAGAAAACAAAAACTTATGGAAAGTATAAACAAAATTATACGTAAGCCAATTCGCGAAATTATGTTAGATAAGAGAAAAAAACATTTTGACAATTTACACTCGAAATAGTTTGTTTATCAAAGTTCTAAATAAAAAAATTATGGAAAAAATATGACATTTAAATTAGAATAATTCTACAAATTACGCAAATAACAAAAATAATATTTTTGGTTGCAAATGGTCACGTAGACCAACTTCTTGGTATTACTTGGTACTAATCAGTAGGTATTATTGTGAGAATAAAGTGCTTATATAAAGCGAAAAGTTTCTAATGGATTCTAAAATGTTATAGGTTGTGCTATAACATAGACTAGCAATTGCTACTTCAATTTTATTCTTATTTTGGATAAACTCCTTACTTAAACTAATCCAACGCTTAATTTAGCAGTGGAGTTTTAGTAAAAACTTAAGTCTAGATAATTGTTTGTTGGCACTAATATGGCACAGCATTTAATTTGGTATGACTTCAATTTCATGTGACATCACAAAAAGCTT